AAAAAAAAAAAAAAAAAAAGAAATTTTTTTTTCTACTCTTTTAACTGACCTAAAAATCTGTAAAGTTGAAGTTGAGAAAAAACACTCGTTTAAGTGTTTTTTTTTTCTGCTTTTGATAAAATCTGAAACTAATTGCCGCATTGTCGCCTGTTAACTGTTATCCAATTGTAAAACTTTAGAATAGCTAAATTTGCTAGTTTTGTTCAAATGTTTATTACTGAACGGTATAGATTTGATTGCGCAAATTTTTACCGTTTGTATCGATACTGTTAATAATCCGATCAACTTCTTCGCTGTCAACAGCATAACCGCTGACCCGTAAAAAGTCAGCTAATTGTGATCTTGTCAGCATTCCATCACGATCGGTATCCAACTTGTCAAAAGCTTTCAAAAGTTCTGAAAGAGTGAAGCGATTGTTTATTGTTTCGCAAATTTTTTTCTTACGTTCAACAGACTGTTATTTGGAAGTATGTGGGGGGAAAGAAGTGTATTGTTGATAGAATTGCGAGTTTTGATGTATATATCACTAGTTTTTTGTTTTGTCCCAATTTAAGTTTCAGTAACTTTGTTTGAAGTTCTATACGCATTTTTTTGACTGACAATTCTTTTTTCGTTTTGATTAGTATTCTTTCATAAAATATTGACTCAAAAAAGAAAAAAACTAAATTTTTTTTGTTTACAATTTAAAATTTGTAAATTTTGACCTTGAAAAATTGTATGTTTCTCTTAGTTTATGTTATGTTCAACAACAGAAGAAAATGGAAGAAAGAAAAAAGGTACAACTTTTGTCTTGTCTTGTCCAAGACGCCTGTTGTGTCACTTTGATGAGAAAGTCCAGTTAAAAATTTTATTTTTGCTTTCTTTTTATTTTTTCGTTTCTCTCTATATTTCCTATTCTCGTGCTAAAATTCAGGTACAGCAAGCAAAAAGTGCTTATAAAAGATCAAAAATCTGTAAATTGTAAAAGAATTTCAACTACTATAGCTGCTAAAAACTGTCTGCTCAAAGATTGTACTGTCAAGTCAAAAGCAACAAAAATCAGTCATTAAAAAAAAAAAA